CACTGGCAGCTCCAAACTTACATCTTAATCTTCAACCTCAACAGCAAGAATCCCAGCAAAATTTTAAAGTGACTTTATTGCCTCCATCTATAGCCAGAGATCTGAGGTGGTGCTGATGGGTCAGGTGAAGGTCTTGTGTCCACCCTTTTCAGGCTGAAAAGTCAGCCATGGACTAAAAGTGGCTGTTTTCATAAGAGGGGGGAGACAAACACCAGCTGACACCAAATTATGAAGCTTCACATTGTTCTTAAAACTAGTTACTCAGATCTTCCCAACTAGGTTTCCTAATTAGGTTATCAGACACAGCTAAAACGGGGATCAGAGGGGCCCACTGGTCAGGCTGGAGGAAAGAGGATAGAAGTCTGATAGAGCCTCGTGGCAGATGAAATGGCAGGTTCTGAAGGCTGGGACTTCTTTGGAGAACCTGGGGGAACCAGACTGGGGGCAGGAGGATGGTGGCTACTCCTCTTAGCCTCCTAGCCCAAAGTACAGTGGGGTGAGAGTGGGGAACTAGTTTCAGTGAGGTGATTCAAACACTGCTTTATTGGGTCTTAAAAAATAAATCCCTGTAAACACCTTAAACAGAACATAAAGCTGAGAAGATCACAACAACTGTGTCCCGGGGGGTTGCAAGTCTTTGGAGAAAGCTGCTGCTCTCTCTATACGGGGAGAGTTGGTTGGGGGAGGCGGTGACATACATATATATACATATGTATGTACGTGATACATATATGTACGTGCTGTCTAAAGTGGACAGTCCCTCCTAGGGGCTGGGAGGAGCTCAGTTACTCTCGCCGTCACTGCTGATGATGCCACGCATATGTGACCAGTCTGGGGGTGGGAGACGGGGCCGTTCTTCCTCTGAGTCTAAGGCCCGACGGTATAGTTCCCCAGGGTTGGCTGCTTCCGAAGGGTTCCAGGCTGTGCATCTGCGTGGCCGACCTGGGGGGAAGTGGGAGATTAGTTGTCTAAGAAAGTCCAAGCCCCAACTATCTCTGGGGAGTGAGAGGAAGCCTCACCTGAACCACTGATGATATTGGTGATGTCCAAGGAGGCCACCTCAGCTGCCTCTTCACGCTGCTCCTTCAGGGCCCGACATTTCTCTAAGGAAGGGTTACCTGGGGCAGACGAGGCTGGTGATCCTCTCTTCCCCAGCAGACAAAACCCTCTCCTGCAGCCCCCAAGACACACCTGGCCTCACCCTTCATGCCCAGAGATTCCAGCTCGGCCCGGAGGATACTAAGGCGCTCCTTGTGTGAGCGGCAGGAGCCCAGCAGCTTCTTGTAGTTGCGATGGGCACCACAGGCCCGAATGTAGCGCTTTAGCCTCATCACAGCAGGGTGATCCTCACCACGACGACCAGAGCTGGCCTGGCAAGGAAAGACAGCTGAGGCCAGGCCCTCTGGGCTGCAATCAGAGTCTCCATCTTCCCTTAATTGTGGCCTCCCATCCCATTTTCACCCTCACCTTCCTGCCTTTGAGCTCTGGGCTGCCATCTGCAG